TTAAAATATAATTTATTTCTGTGATCAAAGCTGAATTTTCAGCATCATTACTCCAGTCTTCAGTGTCACATGATCTTCAGAAATCATTCTAATATGCTGATTTATTATTAGAATTATCAATGTTGTGCTGCACAATATTTTTTTGCAAACTGCGATATTTTTTCAGGATTCTTTGATGAATAAAAAGTTAAAAAGAACAGGATTTATTCAAAATATAAATCTTTGCTATCACTTCTTATCAATGTAACCCATCCTTGCTGAATAAAAGTTTAATTTATTTCAAAAAAAAAAAAAAAAAAATTTACTGACCCCAAACTTTTGAACGGTAGTGTAAATAGATTTCTATTTTAAATAAATGCACTTCTTTTTAACTTTTTATTCATCAAAGAATCCTGAAAAAAAGCATCACAGGTTCCAAAAAAATATTAATCACAACAGTTTCCAGCACTGATAATAAATCAGCATATTAGAATGATTTCTGAAGGATCGTGACACTGAAGACTGGAGTAATGATGCTGAAAATTCAGCTTTGATCACAGAAATAAATTACATTTTAATGTGTATTAAAATAGAATAACTTTATTTTACATCGTAATAATATTTCACAATATTACATTTTTTTCCTGATCAAATAAATGCCGTCTTGATGAGCAGAAGAAACTCCTGTAAAAACATTAAAAATCGTTCTGATCCCAAACTTTTGAACGGTAGTGTATATATATATATATATATGTATGTCTATTCTACTTCTATTCTGCCAATCCTCATGTGCTGCTCAACATCTTTTGTTATTTTTAAAACAGTGACAATAACTATTCTATTCTATTCTATTCTTCATTGTTTTTGTGTATTAATGTGTATTGTTATGATTAAATAAATAACTATGTAAATGGAAACTACATATTAAACACCACAACCACACAAGAAAGATATAGATAGGCATACAGAAAGAAAGAATACCTGTCTCCATACTAGTAACACCTGTTGAGACGACAGTAGCACTGTTAGAAGCAGTGTTCTGTATAGAGGCGGATGAAGCTCCTGTCACTGAAGAGCCTGATGTGGCCATCTGGTCAGTAGAAATGGAGGAGGACATGCTTACTGGAGCCGCAGATTGAGTTAGGCTTACAGGTTCTGACATTGTAGATGATGTCGCATCTGTTGTCAGAGTGTTTTCTGGAATAGCCGTTGTGGAAGATGTCCATACTTTAGAGAGCAGACTCATTTGCAATAAAAGAAAAAACAGGAAGCCTGTGGGAATGAGAGATAAAGGACAGCAAAAGTCTGTGACAACTAGGGCATTTACTGTATTTGCATGTGGTTAAATGTAACTTGGCCAGTTGAGAAATGCATGGAAAAACATGCACACAAGAAGCACGAGCAGAAAGAATTTCAAATAAAAATTTTAATTAATTTCTTTACATGCAGATGTTTTTTTTTTTTACGTGAAATTTACACACAAGTTCCCTCTGCTTCACACTGTTAAAGGTTGTAACCTGCAATTGTTACCATAAAGAGCTATTTCTACCCGTAAATATTGGTTTTGTTGGTATAAATTAATGTATATATATTGGTTTGGTGATGTTAAATACATTTTTGACTTGGAAAAAAAAAAAACAGTTTATTGAGATGCCACCAAATATTGATTTACACACCATTCCATGAAAAGGTACAATGACAAACCTGTTTTCGAAGACCTCCGAGTCTTGCTTATATCGATAGTGCAACATATTTCTCCCAACGCCATCTGAAAGCATGAAATAATGACGAAAAACAGCAAGAACATTGATGTTTATTAATGTTAATGGTGAGCTTGATTGCTGATTTGACATGTTTAAAGGGACCAACAACAACATAAAGCAAGGCATGTATCAGTATCAGAAATTAAATCCCTTTGCCTGTGAATTATTCTCTGATGGTGGTTTGCATCCATGACATTGGAGACAAATTTTCACCGAGAGCTATGCAAACCTGACCTGCCATAATTGGCATTGCAGAACATGCCTAACCTCTCGTGACCTCTGAGCATGATATTCTGCTTTGATCTGCAGTGGAGCATGTCATCGGAGACGATTTCTTCGAATAGATGTCAATTGTGTGGCTGAAACAGAGCCACATTGATTCGGTTTCCACCGCCGCATGTATTTGAATTTGAAACAGCCGGCATCTCAGTGTGGCTATCAACGTTACATCACAGAAATCGCAATCTTCATTTAAATTTCTCTGGCAGACACACCGGTTCATAGATACAAAAGTTCCCTTGCTACGAGGCCGCTTGCCCACACACAATTAACAACTTGTTTGTTCTCTGTGAATCCCACGGGCGTACGTGCAAAGCACGGCTTGTTACCCCTTTCCCCATGAGGCGGTGATCAACACTGTCAGGAAACTACCCTGGAAACCATGTCTTGTATGAGAACATTGGTTCACCCAAATTATGACTCTTTCTCTTTCTATTCCATAGTAATACAATCATGTTTTCAGATGATTTGGACCATCTGTTTGTATTTCTCGTCTTCTCTAGCTTGCTTATCAATCTAGTTGTCTAAAACACCTGGCAAAGCACGGCTTGTTACCCCTTTCCCCATGAGGCGGTGATCAACACTGTCAGGAAACTACCCTGGAAACCATGTCTTGTATGAGAACATTGGTTCACCCAAATTATGACTCTTTCTCTTTCTATTCCATAGTAATACAATCATGTTTTCAGATGACTTGGACCATCTGTTTGCATTTCTCGTCTTCTCTAGCTTGCTTATCAATCTAGTTGTCTAAAAGACCTGGCATTGTATATTACAAATATTACTGGCTCTTGAATTGTTCTTGTAAGTTGCTTTGGATAAAAGATGAGATGCACTGAAAAAAAAAAAAAGTGAAGCATTTACAATTGTCACTGAGAAATTGCTAGTAAATTTCACAAATAATTGCAAAGAAACTGCAAGTAACTAAATGTGAAAATTTTCAAAAAATAAACATCAGATATATAATATACTGTTGATGATGTCCTGTATTTACCAATGATTTGATCTACTAGGCATTACGTACTAACCTTTTTTATTTAACATAACATTTAATTTTTTTTTTATATAACTGATAAATAAAAGATGCATATATCTCATTCCCATTCTCGTGCACAAAGCAAGAAATCTCAAAAGACATTTATAACATATATATATATACACCTTGCTACGTGTACTGCGTTAGGCTAACCGAGACTTGTCATTTGCACTTATATATTGTTGCTCTTTTGTTAGTTTTGACTGCTTTTATTGTCCTCATTTGTAAGTCGCTTTGGATAAAAGCGTCTGCTAAATTGCTAGTAAATTTCACAAATAATTGCAAAGAAACTGCAAGTAACTAAATGTGAAAATTTTCAAAAAATAAACATCAGATATATAATATACTGTTGATGATGTCCTGTATTTACCAATGATTTGATCTACTAGGCATTACGTACTAACCTTTTTTATTTAACATAACATTAAATTTTTTTTTTTATAACTGAGAAATAAAAGATGCATAGATCTCATTCCCATTCTCGTGCACAAAGCAAGAAATCTCAAAAGACATTTATAACATATATATATACACCTTGCTACGTGTACTGCGTTAGGCTAACCGAGACTTGTCATTTGCACTTATATATTGTTGCTCTTTTGTTAGTTTTGACTTCTTTTATTGTCCTCATTTGTAAGTCGCTTTGGATAAAAGCGTCTGCTAAATGACTAAATGTAAATGTAAAAATGTAAATAACAGTATTTTTCCACTAAATACACACATGTAATATTTAGCATCTGTCATATGCAGCATCTCGGGTCTTTTCTAGACTCTCGGTATCACCTGTTTGAAAACATGGCAACCCTCTCCACGCAACAGCATCTCTTGCAAAAATCAATCTAGCTACACCTATAGCCCACAGCTGGACCCAAAAGTCTGTTTATACACTTACAACATCTTAATACGGCATATTGGGAAATGTTGTTTACCTTCGCCGATCAGTGGGGAAGCACAGATTGGACTGGAGTTGTAACAGATGTGGATGAAGTTAAGAGTGTCTATATGATCCTCTATCCCTTCCTCTCTCCCTCTCTCTGTTGCTATTTGCTCCTCCAGTGTGGTGACATCAGAGGGAAGGTTTCCTAATTAGTGGGAACTCTGATGGGATTGGTCTGCTGATTGTGTGCTTAAACTAGAATGATGGGGTGTGTCTTATTGAAATGATGCATTCAACTCTCTATTGATATTATGAGTTATGTTTATGAGAAGTTAAACTGCTTGACAAAAAATAAATAAATAAATAAAATAAAATAAAAAGTGTAAAACCAAAAATGTAAAATCACACTTAGATTGATTTATTAGCATTGTAATAATAATAATAATAATAATAATAAAAGATATGTAAATAAATAATATAAAATAAAACTAACATTTAATTAAAAAAAGTGTTGACATGAAAAACGACTCGCATGAGAACTCCTTTATTAAGCATCACAGGATGCAGGAAGTTGGTTGAAAGAACATCTATTGCTATAACAGTGCAAGCAGGATACAAAACCAGTTCAAATGAAATTGATTTGAATGAAATAGTCAAATCACAAAAAATGAAAATTAGCTGATACAGCTATAGTTCCCTGGAACTAAATATTACTTCTTTGACTACAGGCACCACAATCAAATATCATGAACTCAAGCATGGAAACAAAATTAGAACCATGGAAAGTATGAAATAAATTGATATTTTACAAAGTGACATCGCCAACTACTGGCCTGTTTGTAGTCGCTTTTGCGTATCCGTGTGAACTGGGACCATTTTGACAATATTGTAGTCTGTACGTGAAACTTTTCAAGAATGCAAAGGAAAACTTTTAGTACAATCATTGTCATGAATAGGGCCTTTCGCACCACGGGAACCTTTTCATAGTACCAGGACTAATTGTGGAACTACCCACTTTTTGGCGTTTTCGCACCGCCGGAACTGGGTGCGATTTTAGTACCGGACTGCCTTTTTCGAGAACCAAATTAGCTCCTACTCCGGAGCAGGGTCTAACCAGCACAACTGGTACTAATCGTGACGTAAGTAGACATTGATTGGCCAAACGCGTATGAAAACGCCCTCACCCGCCATGATTTAAAACGCCGTGTAAACATACTGTAAACATTGTGTCAACTTATTTCGCAGGTATGGAGAACAGCGATAGATGGACGGACGCTGAAGTGCAGGCACTTGTAGCAAATGTAGCACTGCCAGTTGTCGTTGGAGATTCTTAGTCCTCCTTTCCGTTCTTTCAATCGCTTTACGTATACGTCGACTTTCCATGTCCATTATTGTGAAACCCGCGAGACACAACAAAAACACAGCTCCGATCACAGCGTCTTCCATCCTCCTGTTGTTAATGTTGTTGTTCTTTGTTTCTGTTGTTGAACGCCACGCACAAATGACGTCGCTGTCGACCGGCTTACATCACTTCCTAGTACACACTGTCGGTGCGAATGCAACCCTTTAAATGGTACTGGGAAATAGTTCACGCAAAATAATCCCAGTACTTTAGTACTGTACATTTAGTTCTGGAACTAAAGCGGTGCGAAAGGCCCTTAAATGTACCTACAATATCCAAACTTTTCACAATACTACAAGAAACTCCATGGCAGATACTTCCAGCTTTAGCAATGCGACTCACAAATGGCCATTCACAGAAAATTTCAAAACAAAGAATTCTACTCTCGTGAATTCAGGTCCATCTCATCTGTTCTGTACATTTACAGTTGACAGCTCTTTGTTCAGAATGAACATAAACTCACTGCATGCTTGAAAAGGTCTGGAGATCCTATTTAGGGCAAGTTGAGAGAAGTAGAAACTGTGGCAAGTCACACTGCTGTAAGATGGACTTTGAAGGTGATTTCAGCCGGTGAAATCAAGACTTTCCCACAACAATTACCCCTTTGTAGTGGTGTGTATCACAAAAATGCAGAGCACCAGCTCTGACACACCGAAGGATTGTGGGTGCTCAGATGACAAACATGGATTTCTGGGACTTCCTAATACTATAATATCTTTCAGAGTTTATACACTCTTCTACACTTAATTTTTTTTAACCCATGCTACACTGTACTGTGTTTTAAGGGTATGGATGATTGGAAATAGAGAGGGTTAACTTTGCCAGTACTTATGCTGAAACTGAAATGCAGGTCTGGTCCAGTATCACTGATCAAATGTTTCTTTGAAAGCACAAGGGATGGTGAATGGAAAGAGAGTCAAGTTTTAGCACTAGATGTCCTGTATGATTCAAGGTCCATGAAAACAATATATTCAAGTTGCTAAAACAAATTTTACTGGTTGGCATAGTCTATATGCAAAGCTGGTGTTCGACTATTAAATTACAAAATCAAAACAAATAGAAACTGAAACTTTGTCAAGACAAATCTGAATGTTAGCTGCACAGTTCAAAACAGTTTGAAGATTATTTTGAAGTCTGATGGTTATTAGGCTTTTGATTATTTGATTATGCTGTACATATGAATCGATGATGAACTGACTTTAACTGGGAAATTGAGTGTTTCCTATTGTCCTCTTGCATTATCGGCACTCTATTTTCCGGTTTAATACTGTAAAGCTGCTTTGACACAATCTGTATTGTAAAAAGCACTATATAAATAAAGGTGACTTGACCTGACATCTTTAAAAAGATTCAGGCAATGGGAAGTAGAAAAGTTTTCATGAAATTAAATGAAAAGGATTCTGTTCCCATTTCTATTACATTCTGCACAAAAATGAAAATAAATTTTTGTTGATTGAAGCGTTGATTCTAATCCTTGCTCTTGGCCAAACATTAAAACACATGCAGACTTGTCTGTCCCTTGATAAGGATTGGCATGGTATCAAAAGATACCTATAGATTCAGTAGCTTTTGCACCTGCCGTTGCCAGACAGATGGTTGTGGTATTACGAAACGTCATTAAAAAGCTGCAAAGATGTTGGATTGAAGATGATCTAAAGCTCCAACTCTGATCTGAGTGGAGACATCAGGGACCTCAAACCACAAGGACCTTGTCCATTTTCTCCTTGGGAGCTCACATCAGGGACAGAATAAATGGACAAAACAATGGCAACACTTTATATATATATCAGTGGTGTCCAATCCTGCACCTGAGGGCCAACATTCTGCAGAGTTTAGCTCCAACCTGCTCAAACACACCTGCCTGAAAGGTTCTAGTAGAAGTCCTGAAGACCTTGAATGCCTGATTCAGGTGTATTTAATTGCTTGGAACTCATAATTGTTATTTCTGACTCTACTTAAAGGACACATTAGCTCCAACCATAATCAAACATACCTTAAGCTAATCAAGGTCTTCAGGATTACTAGAAAGTTACTGGCAGGTGAGTTTGATCAAGGTTGGAGCTAAACTCTTCAGGAAAGTGGACATCGAGGGCCAGAGTTGAGAACCCCTAAACTTGCTACTACAACAGGGGCTTTCGCACCAGAGGAACCTTTTCATAGTTCCTAGAACTATTGGCGGAAGTTCCCAGTTTTTGGCGTGTTCGCACCGCAGGAACTAGGAATGTATTTAGTTCTATGAACTCCATTTGGGGGAACTAAATTAGCTCCTACTTCAGAGTTAAAAACAGTGATAACGGCATTTACCTGTTGTCTGCAGAGTTGTGTTCTTTTCTCAGCCTCGATGATAACACTGCAAGTTGTCATAGGAGATTTAGACAGATTTTAATGCTTGTAGTGGGGGAACCACTGTTTTAGATGATACACAAGTTGTGTTGTTAGGAGGAGCATGTCAATGTGACCATGGCAGGGACACTTATCTATAATATAGACCAGGGGCTCTATAGAACTCTTCCTGCAGACTTCCTGCTTCATCACACCTGTAAATTATTTTGAAATAACCCTGAAGTCCTTGATTAAATGGTTCAGGTGTGTTTATGGGGTTGGAGCTGAACTCTGCAGTACAGCAGATCTATTTTTTTAGGCTACAACTGTTATGTTTTCGACTTGAATGCACAACATGCAGGGCCGTAGCTGAGGTATTCGGGGTGCAGGTTCAGCAGGTTGTACCTGTGGGTCCTATTTGAAATAGTGTAAACAGGCTAGCACAAATAAATAAAATGAACAAAGATACAAATTAAATAATGCTTTTTTCAAGTTTGGTGGCGTTCAAGTACAGAAATTTAATCAACAAATGTAAAACAGCATTGCATAGTGTTCACTGTATAAATTAAATATAGATTAATCCTTGTTACAGCTATAAAATTCAAGTTATTCAAGAGTAGTGAATGATTCTTGGACAGCAGCTAGTAAATTAGGCACAGTCACTTTAAGACAGAATGCATGGATCCAATATAATGAAACACATATCTTTATCTTTATCAACTGTTTATGTTTACTTATGACATAACCAACAGTTTTCGAGGATACTCACCAAGATGGGGATTTTGACCATTTTTTAAATGTATTTGTTCGTTCATGCGCAATAAGACACAAAAGAGATTCTGTGGTCGCAGACTGTGAGACGTGGCTATCTGTATGCACACAGAGCACAGTATGCTAGTACTGAATTAAGTACTTTCACGTCTTCTTGCACTTGAATGCTTTAAAATGTTTTCACACTGGCCCTGGGCAGCCCGTTAAAATTGCCAGGGGCCCCCCAACAGCCGTGGACCCCTATAATTGTCACCACTTTCTCCCCACCAGCTACGGCCCTGATGACATGTTGTAATAATGCAGACTCGGAGGTGCAAGTTTTCCAGGTGCACTCGAAGGCTGTATAAGCTCTCCAGGAAAGTTGATTTCGATGGCCAGCCCTGCATAAAGGGGTATCTGCATTCTTATCACTCCTTTACCTGGTTTCAAAATAAGTAGGGCTACCCTTGACTAAAGATTTGTCTGGTCGACTAGTAGTCATTCATTTTAAGTATTAGTTGACTAATCGCACGTTTATTAATAAACCATTTAAATAATAATTATGTGCCTTTAATTGCCTTCATAGCCTAATAAGCGGTCAAGCGCATTCATAAAGCTTGCCATAGCACACCAGCAGAAGTAATGATTATGAATGTGTCAGGGAAAAACAGTAAG